GGCTATGAGGGATCCGTGTGAGTTGAAAACTTATTCCCTATTGAAAACATGGCTACATGTAAAACTCAGCATCATGTTATTGGGAAATTAACTAAGTGGTTTCTCAGATAAATTCAGATGACAAAACTTATCTGAAAATCTAGTGTAACAGTACAACACACATTTGCTATTGGTGCTGGAACTTCACAATGTGATAGATAAATTACCTCAATGTTTGACCATATTTGTCCTTATTTAAAAACAATAAACAAACAAAACAATTACTTCACAGGTATTTCTGATGCTCAACTAACATGAAGAACTATTTGAAAATAGATGTTACATTCCACCTCCAATATGTCTGACTCAGTTGTCTGGGAGGAAGTTAGGGATCAGGAAAGTGAATCCCAGCTTACCATGATGAGATGCCGGTTATTAGGATGTGCAAAGATTCTCTGCTGGACCCAAATGCTCGAGGTTCCCTGGTGGGCAGTGGCAGGATCAATAGGCCCATTTGCCAGTCTCTGTACTCAGGGTGAACTTGGGAAATTCTTCTGAAGCTTTTCTTAAGTCTGAGCTTGAATCAATAACAAAATTTACTTGTATTTGAATTCCATTGTTATGTAATTTTTGACATGTCAGTGTAATCATTAGCAAATGCAGAGACTACTGTGTAAGAAACCACAGAGCCAGTGTGGCCAAGGTTGGAATATATAGGTTCAAGTCACAGTCCTGCCAATTCCACAAGTTCCCACCTTATGTTACCATTGGGAGGTCCAGTCGAAGTCCAGGTCCTTGGTGTCACCAATGAAGAATTGAGCGAGACATACAGAAGTAACAGAGTGCAGATTTCTTGAAGGTGAAGATAGCACTCCATTAGGTAGAACAGAGTTGGTAGAGCGAGAGAAAGGGCCCTAATGTCTGGAAATTAGGGTCTTATATCCTGAACTATGGGGCATTCTCTTCCCTATTCAGACCTGATTGAAGACCTTAGCCCATTTTCTCCCATTGGTTATCCTATGATACCTGATTAGAATATTTTCCCCTCAATGGTTACTTCCATTGGTCATTTTAAAATTTGAACCTATGGTGGGAGTTGTCATGGTGATAAGTCTTCAGTGGCAGGAGTTGTCATAATGAGATTTATTGTAAAATGGGACAGGACTCTTTTGTCTTGTCCTCCAGTGGCTTCTTTTTAATACCCTGTCTCCTCCATCTTAATGTCCCTGAACTCCTACCTAACACTACATGGAGAGGTCATGGGACCCGAGTCTCAGGATACTCCAATGTAATGAGATGAGGTCATCAGCTTCACATAGCTGTCGTGAAGGGGTGGGATTAATGTATAAAATTGGACTGTATTTAAGTAATATAGTATAGTAAGACATTGTTCTTATTTAAATCTTAACAGTGATAGAGAGTACAGAAGCCTCCAAATCAATCTTCAAAGTAGTCAGATATCATACCCATTGGCATATCAATTGTATATGAAGCTAAATTTTGCTGTTTCTTCATCTGTGTCAAACCTAACTCATCCTCAAAACTCAAATGTCAATCCCTTGATGAAGTATCTGGTCCCCACTGACAATTATTTCCATTTCTCTCATGGCATAGATAATGATTTTATTTGATCGCGGGTTTCCCTCTTTCCAGGCCATGAGCCGTCCGAGAATCAAGTCTCCTCCATCTTTCAGTTATCATGGATAGGATGTTCTTGGTATGTTGGTTCAATGAATGATTAGTAGGGGGGAAAGCAAGTAGGTATAAAGGAGAACAGTTTAGACCAGCTAAGATTTTAATAAGAGTAAAGACAAAGATTTCATGAGAACGCTGCCTCCGCCAGCCAGTTCTTAGTCAGTGCTGGAAACATGTAGGTGACCCCGGAGAAACTTGCAGCTGAGAGGAAGGAAGAAAGGCCGGCTGTGGACAAAGGTTTGGTAGTCATGGTGTTCTCTCCTGGTGACAGGTTCCACTGTGTTCTGTACCACAACCCCAGAATGTCTGTAGGCTTTGCACTATGCCCCTGCCACCCACAGGCCCCTCTGCAGAATTGCTAGAGCCTCCTCAAGGCCCTGTCCTTGCCCACTGGTCCTATGGGAACTCTGCTTCCTGTCAGAAACACTGGTTCCTGAGTCCCCTCCCTGCGGGACTGTCCATCCTCCACCACTTGCTAATTTCATGACCAAGAATTCCTGTAATAAGTTATGGGCATTAAGGGGCCTCATTCACAGTTAATGAGAGTTTCATTCACAGGAATGAAATATTTGATCCCTGAAGCACTTAAACCAAAGACACAATAATGACTTTATCAGTCATCATTGTGCCTCGTGCTGCCTGGCCTATGAAGGGCAAACTGTAGGGAGGGGAAATATGTGTTCCTTCAAAGAGGTAGGGATTTGGAGGTTGCTGGTAAGACTCCTGATTTTGTGAAATTAAAGTTGATAAAATACTGTGGTGGGGCATGGTGGAAATGATGTTAGTTTTAGTAAAATATGGGCCTTTTCCAGGGTATGGGAATCATTTTTTATTAAATAAAATAGCTAGATTCTATAGCCAATACCTTAATAAGATACTCAATTCCTCAGAACAGACTGATGCTGAAAATAAAGAAAAATAGAGAATTGAAGCATGAGCCAAGATCCCTGCCCTGGCCCAGCCCTATTTGTTTCTCATTGAGTCGGATGTGGGTGCTGACTGGAAACATCAGTTGGAAGCATAACGCGCTTTTCTATTTCTTGGACATCTTTCCTGGTGTGAGGCCCAGAGCACTACAGATAACATATCTGGTTAATGCTAGCCCCTCTTAAAAAAAAAAAAAAAAGTCAGGTTCTCTCTGAATTTGAGACCAAGGTCCCTTTATGTGATTAAAACTGTTCTTGAACGTTCTTTGGGTGGTTTCTCTCTCTATGCGCAAGGTCTGAGTCATGGATTTTCAAGGTAACCTCATTTGGTTCTCCTTCACAAGCCAAATATAGATATGGAGGTGTTACTAATCCTTTAAAAAGCCAGGGGTTTGCGCTATTATTGAGCTTTGAAGGATTCTGATAAGGGGATTTTTGCCTGTGATCACTTATGATGTTTTTACTTCAGAGGTGGATCAGTACCCTCTGGAAACAAGTAAGCCTGACAGGGCGCCATTGTTCCAGAATAGTTGGGTTCAAGTTTAATTTTGCTCAAACAGGTACAGAAGTGGAAAACTTTGGCTTCTTTAAATGCTGTGCTTTTAAAAAAGCAAAGGCCTTAATTTTAGCCACTTGCCGAGTTTCAGGAATTTTTACCATATTTAAGTACCATCCGAAGTTTCTTCCTACTATTTTTCTTTAAATTCAATCACTGCTATACTGCCATAAATGGAAACCTAGAATTCCAGCTAGATTCATCACTTCCATGCTTCGGAGCCCAAGGCCATCTCCCTTTATTTGAAAGGGAGATTCACCTGGGCATGCACACTGTGCTGCCAAGAGAACCCCTTCTCCCTCTCTTCAGTTAACTGTTTCAGTGCTTTGGATTCCACATGGCTGTCACACTCCTTTGAGAAACACAGCCTGTAGAAAGCTCATTCTTTTTTCTATTCTGTGTGAGGAACTAAGTGTTTTGATTGTTGGGACTTGAATAGAACCCCGTTCTTGAATGGGATAAAAATACCCTAAGGAAGGGAGGGGGCACCCTCCCTACACTCGAGGATTGTCTCATCTACTGAGGGTAGAAATATACTGATAACACAGAAAAAGAAAACATTTAGAAGCAAGAAAGCCAGAACAAGCAAGGACGCAACATTCGAGTGTCAGCTGCAGGAGTCGTGGTTTGCTGACCTAGTCTTGGTGGACAGCAGTGCTTGGCACAGTGGCGAGGGGGGGTGGTGAGCTGTCAGATCTGTTGAGTCCAAGGATGCAGACTCTGTGCCCAAGTCTTCTAGCTGCGGTAGGAACCTGCGGATCGTGGTGGGAAATGGGCTTGCACAGTCTGGGTGGGTCACAGGAAGTGAACTTTGAGAGAAGAGGTGGGCACAGAGCTGGTGTGGGCACACACGCACGTGGGCACGCACGCACGCACGCAGGCACGTGCACACAGTGCACAAGGCACCCAGGGTTGTATCCTCTGAGGTCAAGACCTTTGAATAGCTTCAGAAGTGCAAATTTCCCTCCCATTTGAAGAAATCCTCCCTTTCCTTATCATTCATAAACAGCATGAATTTAAGATTTATTTACACCCTGGGAAGTGAAGCGAGCTGACACCCTACAAGACACATGCAGGGATTCTGAGCATCTGGTACTAGTCTGCATCACAGTTTGCTGCTGAAAACACATCAGAGTCTCAGGTTGTGTTTTTAAAGAATAAATAGAAAACAAATCAACAGGGTTAGAAGTGTAGAGCAGTAGGCAGGGCTGAACTGTTGCTGGTGTGTGCTTGCAGTTCCCATCACAGGACTTGGAAGAGGAACTCGGGTGCGGCTCACCCCAAACTCCTCTCTCAGGCCTGGCCTAAGGCAGGAGGGATCTGCTTGAGCTGGCTGCACAGGCTTTTGTAAAAGGTTTCAATTTTCAGAAATCAAATTTTCATTTGGGTGTTTTCCACTGGTTACATGATAAGAAATCGTCAGCTCAGTGAAACTTGGAAAACATTTTTCAGAAAGTGGAGTCTTATTTTCTCTTAGACTAAAGCTAATTGTTTAATAGGAGTAAATAAGGACTTAGGACAGGTTCTGAACCAGAAAGCACGGTATGAACCTTTTAAACTTACTGAACTACCAACTTTACTATATATATATATTTTTTCCTTTTTTTAAATGGATGTGTATTTAGTGGAACACTAGCTGGAAATAAAATTTCAAGTTTTCTAAACTGAGTGAAAGTAGCACAGCAAAATATTTCTGAAACTGAACTTCAAATCAATGGTTTATTGAATCCCTGCCTCATATTAACTTCAGGGGCTCTTTGGAAGGGGGTGCTTTGGCATCTTTGTGCAGGTGAAAAAGGCCAAACTTCTGTGAGGACTAATGAAAGAGTGTGTCTGTCTTCCAGGTGCAATACTTCTTCAAGATCCTGGATAACTAACAGTTCAGAAAGTATGGAAGCCGGACTGGGGCATTTGGACGAGAGTGATCACGCATGTGAGGAATGTGTTCATTCTTTTATTGTCCGTTGTTTTAACCTGACTGATACAAGATCAACAAGAGCACTGTACTCCTGGCAATTATTACATATGTTAGAACATGGATCTGCACTGTAGACAACATTTAACACCAGTCTATGGGGTACTGCATTGCTTTTTATAAAGTTCAAAATAAAGATTTATTTTCAAACAAGTGACTTTGGTTTATTTCATACATTACACTTTTTCTTGCAGAAAAAAATAAAATTGTACAACTGCATAAATATAAAATCCTTCCACCATGAAAATGGTTAAAACATTCATAAAGACACAGCACCAGCATGTGATGCCTCCAGAGAAAGGAAAGGAAAAAAAAAGAAAGAAAGAAAATGCACAAGCAAATGAGCCCTGCCCCTTGGCAGAGCGTGCAGGCCTGGGTCTCAGACAGCTTCAGAGCTCGCTGGAGGACAAGGCAAGGAGGTCAAGATGGCGTTCGCTATGAAGCACAGCACAACCCATCACCTTCTTGTGTTTTTCTGTAGTGTCATGTAAAATGTAAAGGGCAGTTCCCCATGACAGCCCACCCCCAGCCCCAGGGGGAAAAAATCAAGACCTAACATCACAGGAAAAGACTATGGAGTGTGTTAAAAATGCTCACTGATGGGCCATTATCCTTGAAAGAGCCAAACTGAGAAAAAAAAGTACCATGCCAGTTTTATTCCCATTGAATATTTACACCTTGGACAGTAACCTTGCTCACATAAAGTAGAAAACAGATATGATAAAACATGGCTTGAAAAACGACCAGAGTATGCACCTACAGTACTGTACACTAAATAAAATACACAAGGCAGCAACACTCAGGGGCCAGAAACACTGCTACTACAGGTCAGTCACGGAATCATAATTTACAGTAAAAATGGGCACGTCCCAAGGCTCAATTTTTATTTTTCTTTTGTCATTTACAGTAGAATAAATATTTTGTTGCTATTGCTACACTTTAAATTTACATTCTAACCTATTAAATGCAGAAAGCTAGTGTAAAGCATATAGATTAAGTGTAGGTCCCATACGTATGACAGTTTGTTCAAGACTAGTAGGTTTTGTTTTGTATCTTTTTTAACTTATTAAATGGCTAGAGGGAAAGATTTGTGCTTGTGATCAGCTCTTAACTTCAATTTTTACATCAAAGCGTCCCTGAAAACGGTCTTTCTCACTGTACCCAATGTTCTCCCCATATGCCTTACACTCAATGCGAATCTCAGTGTCCAAGGTGAGGTTGGTGAACTGCACGGCCAACAGGGGCTGCAGGTACCTGGGCTGCAGGAGCTTGCCGTAGTAGGGATAATACTGCAGAGGAAAGCCAGCGTAGCCGCCCAGGCCAAAATACTCCACGTTCCCGATTTTATCCTTATCTTCGTCTCGCTAAAAACCAGAGTGAAAGGAGAGCTGAATGGTTCACATCACGGATCTCCACTTTACAAATGAGATTCTCAACCCCACCAAACAGTGTGCAGACTTCTGCTAGAGGGAAACCAGCCACCCTCCACACGTCTAGCTCAGACCTGGCTCAGAAGAATGGAACACAAAGCAGGAGAAGACACTGGTGGGGGCTCTGATGCCACAGGAAGAATGTATATTCAGTGTGATCCATAGAGGCCTTGAGAGACTGTCACAAAAGGAGCTATTCTCATTGTGCAAATGGGGAAACCAAGGTAAATACCAAGTAAGTAGTTCTCAAAGCCTGCACAGTCTCCTGGAAATGAGAGGTCAACAGTGAAAAATGTCCTGGCCTTGTCCCACCAATACTACTCCCAGTGACACTGTCTCCAAAGGTGTATCTATTTATCTCTGATTTCTTACACCCGCCGTTTCTTTTCTTGGTGCCAACATAAAACAATTTAAAAAATAATATGAAACTTTATTAATAATAATAAAAGGGAATTCTCTTTTATTCTAAACATCCTAAAATTCTATCTCTAAACAATTCATCAGGTATCTAGCCGGACAATGGGATGTCTGTTACTTTAATCTTTGAAATTTTTTAAAGAGAAGCCCATACTACCAATTGTTAGGTGACACTATTCACTGAAGAAGAAAAAAATAAAAGACAGTCCCACATTTTAAACAGAGAGAAGCACTTCTACATTCAGAAGAAAATTACTGAACACAGTGGCAGATTTCAGAAACGAATTGAACGTGTTCACGTCACTCAGTACTGCCATCAGTTTCTGTCAGAGCAGAAGACCGCTCATACAGAAGGGACAGTTCTGTACATTAGTAAGGAATTAATGACATGATGCTATTTTTTGTTGTGGGAGTTAAGTTCTCAATTCTATAAACCAGTATTCCAGTGGACTAAATTCAGTTATCTGAATTTCTTATACCAATGGAGAAAAGTACACATGGTTTTATTCTTGTTGTACTTTTCTGTCCTTGTGGGAATTTTACCCAGTATAATTACAACTCGAATTCCTGAGACTGACATTCAAAAGCAATGTTTCTTGTTTCCTATATTAAAATGTTACCTCTAACTAAAAACAATCTCATCCACCCCCTTCCCTGACCCAAACCCACCACCCTCGAGTGACCCACGTGTCCTTACTTTGCCAGTGCACTGAACAGGCAGCACATTTGGATTATACTTCATCACTGGGTAACTCTCCAGGGACTCGTTCTTGGGAGGCTAAAAATAAAACCCACTTTGGTCAGTAAGAATTTTTTTTTTAAATTTCTAAAATATAAAACTGGTTTGCAGGCCAAATAAATATGCATTGTCACAATAAGTCAAGTGAAATAATAAAACACATCAGGATAGTAAAATGAATGACCCCTCCTGAAAAATCTCAGAAAAGTCTCAAGTTTGTTGAAATGAAAGTGAACTAACTGCCCAAGTCCTGTGGGCCCACGATCAGGCTGTAATGCAGCCAGTGCTGAATGGAACTTCAACAGTCACTGGAGGACAGGGAAACATAAGAGCCAACCCAAAAACAATGCTCACGGTTTGCCAGGACACGGGAAAGGTGACTGACACTTGTTTTCACACAGCCTGGGCTTTCCTCTGCGCCACAGAAAACAAGACCTCTGCAAGCAGGCTTTCCTTTTCCACGCTCATCCCCAGGGCTGGGGAGGCTGCCACCAAAGGAGTGCTCCCTACTAACTCGTTAACAAAGTCTGGTATGTCAAACAGCTGGAGAGCACACTACCCTAAACAAAGGGGTGCTGGGAAGGGGTGCGGCCTGATGGTGCTGCCACAGTGAACCTCTAGAGCTTCCGAGCTATATCCCTGGCTTGACTGCTCCTCAGGAAAGTGTGATGAGCACACTGCTGAAGACAGTCACCTGCTTGCTTCTAGTCTGATTAGACAGAATAGATGGTTCTGTACACCAGTAAGGAATCAACAACATGATGCTACTCTTTGTTGTGGAAGTTAAGAAAATGATGATCTAGATTAGAGTCTTTTGAAACTTCCTGCCATCAATATATTTATCTTTAAAAAATGGGATAAAATGCTTATTGATCAAAGAAGATACCAGAATCTACTCTCAGAAGCTGAGGAAACAGGCACACCAAGTGAGATGCTGGAGTCCTGCCACCACTAACAAAGGTGATCCTGACAGCATCAGGGCAGGGCCCCGGAGGGAGTGATAAGTCAGGGGGCGATGTACGACCAAGCAGAGACCGGACATGCTGGGTACGACGGGGGTGGGGGTGCTCCTCCCTGACAGGCACTCCGGCCAGGGGGACGGATCACAGCAAGCCCAGCTTTGCCTCTGCAAGCACCACTCGATGTCTTGAGGACTCCACAGAGATGAGCTGTGGTCACCTGTGGCCACACCACACCAATGCCTTTCATGTTCATTGCTAACTAGCAATGATCCTAGAGCACTGCCTAGCAATGTGAACATCAAATACAAGTATGCTATAATGGTCCCCACCACTCTTCTTCTGTCATATCTTTGTATAAGTGAAAAGAGGATCAAAATTCTGTGGCAAAATACACTAATGCCTGCAGGAGCTCTGCCAGCCAGCCAGCCAGCCAGCCAGCCAGCCAGCCGCTTAGCCACGTCTGTCTCTGGTGGTAATAAGAGAGCTTTGGTGCATCCTTCAGTTAATAAAACTTCTCATCTCTACGCTGATTTTCTTTTGAAAATATTATTCATGGGTAGCAAGCACTGTGGAAATAAACTAACAGCATTCAGTAGGAGATTACTGAACAAAAGGGCAGATTTCAGAAATGAAATGAGCGTGTTCACGTCACTCAGTACTGCAGTCACTTCTGTCAGAGCTGGAAACTGGTCAAGTAGGCAACGCTCATGACAGGAGGGACACGTGCTAGAAACCACTTAGAAGAGAGAGGACAGCCCTGTTTCGTTCATAATCTGGGGGAAGAGTTTTCATGTATAGAAACTGTCATCGGGATACTTAGCAGAAATATTAAGAAAAGGGCTACAGGGCTCACTTCAAAATCTGGCTTTGCCACTCAATTTCTGTAACTAGAAAATGAGATTCACACTTTCACTTCAGGAGTTTCAGGGCAGATACAAAACTTTTTGGTGTTGCTCTATGATTGGGGTTTCAACTGAATATATTTTAAAACGCCCTTACTTTGGTTATCTTTTCACATCAACTAAGTCTTTATCTCAATTCCATAATTTAAAATATCCCCACTTGCCTTTGGCTTGAAGCCCAGAACTCGGTTGAGCTTTATGATGATGCAGGGCTTGCCATCTTTGTAGCCGTAAGTGTCATCCTCGAGTCCAGAGCAATTTCCCAGCCATTCAAGTCGGAATCTGCAGACCTTTCGCTCTCCTCGTTCATGGTTATATTCTCCTCGTTCTTTGGGTTCGCTGGGAACACCTAAAAAACAAACATCATTTTGATATTATACCAGCAATTCCCTAAGCACCACGGAAAAATGAGGAGAACCTTGTTCCTAGTCTCAATTTCCTGCTCTAAGGCGGTACTCCTCTTCATATCATGCACAGCCAGTAGAGCAGAGATCTCCAGCAGCCTTCTCTCCTTTCACCAAGCCTAAGAAGATGTGCTACCAAAGGTGAGAGCTGTCACTAGGCTCACTGCAAAGCCTCATGGCACCTGTGCTTGATGATCAGCCCCTATCTGGTCTCTGGCAGTATTTCCCTGCCTCTAAATCTAGGATTACGCAGCTATTTTAGAAGACAGAAAGGAAACTGGAGCATCCTTCATGAGCAGTGTCGTTCATACAGGTCAACGTTGGTTTAGCTCAATAGCAGGGACGTTACAAGAATTGTCACTCATTTTTGGAACTGATAGTTTTCAGTCAGAATTTCCTAGTTTTTGGTCAGAATTATCCCTAATTAGCATGTTAAATAGTAAAAGGAAATAGCTCATCTCCTCATCCGTAGTGCTCAGCTGCCTAAGATGCATTTCACTACCGATCCCAAATAGGATCTTAAGTGTACCCTGACCACAGTCCCTCCTTCGTCCATCAGTGGGTCCTAACTCACTACACCAAACAGTCATGGTGGCCAGACAAGGCCCTGTGCTCTCTTCAGTAAGTAGAACTTTCTGGGAAGATTTGGAGAACACAACTACACATCTCTGTGGACACAAGAATTAAAACTGTCATTGTCGTCTTTGGATCTATATCATAAAAGGCAGTGGTGTCTAGGAGTAGGTTTAAAGAACATCTTTCAGATGCAGGAAATAGTAATATTTGAAGTTGCACTGTCTCTTCTGTTGCAGCCTCCAGCTTAAAAAAAAGAAAAAAGCATCTTCTCAATATGGCAAGAGTTTAGTTTCTAATTATTTCAGAAGTATTCCTCATCCAGAAAGTAACGAATAGAAATGGGAAATTAGAATTAGCGAGAAAGAAAACCAACCACAAACATCTACAGTCAATCTACTTACTGCCACAGTCTTCAAAAATCATGTCGTCCTTCTGGGCCGCATCTTTGTACTTCTCCAGGAACCTCATCATGTTCAGCATGTAGGCCTCATAACTCTTGGGATCGTTAGGGCGAAAGGAAATTTCAGTCTTTTGGAGCTGAGGAATCTGTGTTAATCCTGGACCAGGTGGAGAGTCAGAAAGAGACAGGTTCCTCGTGAGAAGCCAAGGTAATGGAAAGCTGACTTTCCCTGAACATGTACACTTGCCACCTACACCTGGCTAAAAGCAGTGGGTTGAATTTTTGCCTCCCTGGGAAATTGCTTCTCTGGCACTTAGTGTAATAATGAAGAGTAATATCACATATCAAGCAACTTCCTGCCTGTCGCTCCACAGTAGGCACCATGTACACTTTATGAATGACAATACCAATTGCACCTAAAGGCTACGCAGTAGTTGGCTTGAGATCACAGCCCGTGGGACCAGAATTCCAACCCAGGTGTGCAGTGCTCCAAAGCCTGCTTTTCCTCTAGGACCCTTGGGTGCACATTTTAGCTAGTAAGGTGCAAAACAAAGCTGTGAGCACCAAGGTCTTCTGTACATTCCAACTCCACATTGACACTGCTCCGCAGGCTCTTATGACCTCACATGGATCTTTTAATCTGAACTGGGGTTTCTGGGGTATATGTGCAATTACCAACCCAGGTCTGAGCACATTAGTACCAGGCAAGGTAAAATTTGAAGTCTGTGTGCCTAGGGTTTGCACACTCTGTGCCTCCCACCATGCCTGGCAGGTCAGGAGAGCACCCACATCATTCCCCCAAATACTGGTGAAATACGCGGCCTCACAGACACCACACCATGCCTGTCCATTCAAAGCACAAAATTCAAGAATCTTTTAATGAACATGAATACGTCCTGAAGAATCCTAGTTTGCTGCTCTTGGAAACTCAAATCTACAAGTGGCAATAGGGACACAGATGTGAAGACAGTGACATCATCAAGGTGGAGGAGGTGACTGCAGTAATTAAAACCTAGCAGCACCATCTGCAGGGCTTGAGAACCAGGCTTCAGCAGCCATGGCACCAAGTGGCTGTTATTTCTTTTTAGTGACTAAGGATGGCTCCGAATTTCACAAGTGGCTCCGTGGTGAGGGGGCTCTGTGAGCACACCTTTCCAAGGACACGACGTCCTAGGAGACTGGAAGAGCTGCAACGGAGAGAAGGATCGTGAGGGTGAAGATCTGGGCAGAAGAGAGCCCAAGGCCAAGACTTCAGAAGTGACATAAGAACCATGGCGAGAAGGATGAGGTGGGATCTGAAGAACACGGGAGCACAGCTATGACAGGGACAGAAGGGAGGCCCAGGGGAGGAGCAGCATCTGCTCAGGAAAGCTCTTCTTTTTACAATGAAGAAGTTCACCACAATTGAACCTTTTGTTGGTATAGATCCTAAGCGATCTCTCTACATTAAATTAGGAAACTGCACTGTGATCATGCACAGTGCAAAGAACCGTGCACTTAGGATGACAGGTACCTGCAACAGTAAAGCCACCAGAGGGGTCCCCTACACCAATACAAAGCAGTGCAGCAAGCAGGCTCCCTGTGGAATGGGGAAGGCAGCTGGGGAGGGTCATTCCTGGCTTGAGTCAAGCTGACTCACCTGGGCCTGGGGGACGGGCAGGGCAACCCCAAGCCAGAGGCTCACTAGAACTCAGGAATGTGCAGTGTTCCTAGAATAGCCCTCAGGTCTAGAGAAAACAGACACACCTGAGAGGCTATGGAAGAGACAGAGGCAAGTGCCTTGGCATCCGTCAGGCTGAAATGTCCTTCCACAAGACCTGTGTGCCAGGGCCAAGCAGCACTGCAGACGCAGGAAGAGGAGGCAGCAATGGCCAGCCAGCGGGGTGACACGTAGGTCAGGTAAGGAGACCCAGAGTCTGAACCAGAGGAGCTCCCTGGGGAGGGGGGGGGGGGGGGCAAGAACTGCAGCTGGCTCACAGAAGAAACAGTGTGACCAGTGACAAAGATGCACCCTGTGGCCCAGCAGCAGTGGCTGATCTAGCAAACACCAAATTGCTTACAAAATGTAAGCAAGATCAGCATGAAATGTGGAGTGTCTCACTCAATAGATGCAAAGAGGAGAGGGGGCCTGGAAGGCCCCACGAGAGTGAACGTGGGGGAACTGACTGCAAAGCCCTGTCCTGTCTCGGCCACTTCCACTGCCCACCCAGGGGTCTGCCTCTCATGTGCTGGTTGCCTCTGTATTCTCTCTTTCAGGGGCCAAAGTGCCATTTCCTTGATATGTGTCTGAACAGTGAGGCTACTTCCCAGATTCTCCCACAGAAAAAAAAGGACAGGAAGCAGGTGGGATTGTGCAGAAGCTTCCCTCGCTCACCATGCCAAGCCCAGTTCTCCACAATGAAGAGACCAGGTGACGTGTCAGACCCCAAAGTCAGCTCCCCTCAGTCAGTACGAGTGTGTTTTTCAGGAGCCTTAGAGCTGAGGTCTATGCTGAGTTTGTGTTTACCCAGACACCTGTGCCAGCCTTTCCTATTAACAAGCACCTCTGTTAGCAATCACCTGAGGTCTGATTTGGGAAATGGTATTCTATGCAGTGATAGCACTGGCCCAGACTGCTGCACAATTTGGCTCATATCTCCCTAGGAGAGGCAAATAGGAAATACAGAAAACACACAGTGGTCTCACACCGATTTATACCTGGAAGCTCAACTCCTTCTGTAAGCACAGCTCATGGCCCAGGCCCATGGAGTCTGCATGTTACCACAGGAGAGAATGCAGACTAAGGCCAACTTGGAGAATCTTGACTGCACTCTCTACCGAGAAGCATCAAAAACTGACAAATCCAAAATACAGGGGCTGAAATGGTCAGTTAAACACTGAGTCTTAGGACCCCTACAACCTGCCCAGCTGGTCAGATTGTAGAGGTATCTTGTCCTTTCCATTTTAAGTGATAGAAGTCTTTGGCAGAAGGAGCTAAGGAATGACAGCAAAGTCCCAGGAAGCTCAGCCAGGCTTACTCTCTGCTGTAAGGTCAAGGATTGTCCGGAGGGGTCTCAGAAGGTGGTGACCAACATAAGCCTTAGTGCTCATCCTTTTAAGATACCCAACTTCTGATTCAAATGTTTCCAGAAAAGATGTACAAATAATTTGGATTTAGGTCACACAGCTCCTGCAGCCACACGCTCACTAGGAACAGGTGTACTACCTGCACACACAAACAGTCAGGAGGCCAACCCAGCTCGGGGCCCTGCCTTGGCTCTTCTGCAGATATGCTTTTTTGGGGGGGGGCCTCCCTGTCTTTTCAGCTGTGTAGCATGGGATTTTCTCACCCTAGAAACTACCAGAAGTAAGTCCCCTGGACTATTCTGACCTGGACAGTCTCAATTAGGAGACTTCTCTGATGAGATCTCCAAACCCTGAGGGAAATTCCTCTTCTCAAAAGCAATTTCTCTAAAGCAATCAGATACTCGTAAGAGCAGGTAAAGGACTTTTGAATGATCCAAACCTGCCAAATCATTTACTCCACTTTTATCAGACCACTGACAAGAAATAGAAAGAAACAGGACTGGACTTGGCAACTTTATTATTTGCAGTCCACATTCAAATTCCCCAGCTGTAATGCTTCCCAAGGACGCACAAGTCCCACCTATGGACTGGAATTCTCACCTGTTGTCTTCGCACTAGATGGGACACTTTAGGCCTATCCCTTCTCCATTGCTCGTTCCTTAAAGATATAGTAATACTGAGAACAATGATGACCTTTGTTTGCAGTTAACTCGCAGAAGCCAGAGATAGCAGAACACCCAATCACTGGCTTGTGGTTTCAAATTATAGCCCAGAAGACAGACGTGTAAGCATTTGCTTCCCCCGTACCTGAACTCGAGTTTACCAGTTAACGTTAAACTGGCTGAGCTCTTCACGCTGCACCACTCTGGACCATAGGAGTATTTGCCTTCAGCTACACACCACTGTTTAATCAAGTCCCCTGAAAGGACTCAAATAGTAATGTGAGTGGGTGAAACTTTAATATTTGGTTTTCAGTGAGTAGTTCAACTTTGCAAAAGATATGGATGTTTTAAAAAAGAGCCCTGCAGCTCCATACTTTCTTTTTGGAGATATACACCAGAGTCACTTCCATACCACTCCCAGGCACCAAGTCTGCCCATCTCATGCGAAACAAAGAAGGAATGCATTCCTCACCATTGTTCCAGTGGGTGTCCCCAGCAAACGGACAAACGAGGGGGAGAGGGGGAAAGGCAGCCAGGTGCTGTGCCACACCCCTTGAACCCCAGTGGCTTAGGAGGCTGAGGCAGGAGTTTAGAAAATTTGACACCAGCACTGGTGACTTAGCAACCAGGCTGGGGACGCAGCTCAGTGGTAGAGTACCCCTGGGTTCAATCCCAGTGCCACAGAGGGAGACACAAAAGAGGTTTTCCATTAAGAAGTATTTTGTTTCCAGTTAAGTTTATAATGTGGCAAGGTTATAATTTCTCTACTTGTGAGTCTAAAGTATTTAAACTAGAATGTAGCCATTTTAACCTTGTAGCAGTTAGCTCAAACAAATCCCAAAGCACAGCTGCTGGTAACTGTCATTTAATACATCTGATGAATCACTAGCCAAGTACTCTAAATAGGTATCATTTTCCACAGAAATCTCCAAGAGGCTACCATATGACTAAGCGGGCCCAGGAAGCAGAGAGATGCTTTTAAATGTAACCACACATACAATGCATCCTTATCACAGTCTCCTATGCATTCCAAGTTGGAAAGTGATTTCCAACTAAAAAAAACAACTGTGGGGTGCTGTGTGACTTTACACACCCAGCCTTAAACGGCAGCACTCAGTAGGAACTAAGATATTTCTAGATTGTTTCTTATTTTTATTTCACATTATAGCTGTGTGGTCCTAGTTCAATTTACCTAACAGAAAACAAAGGGCACAGGAAAAAGGCCACTCAGTGTTCTCCTCGGTGTTCTCTGGAAACTAGTTGACTTTGACTCTCCTTGGGCCTCAGGGTCAGCCCATGACTCAGGGTGGGATCGGCCAGGAATAAGCCTTCTGCCTGCAGACAGGGGTATTTCTAAGCTCCTCCTAGACACCCAGTCTTCTGTAAGGTCCTGGATGAACGGCTCAGTTGCTCCCTACGGTCTACTGAG